GTGTGATTTCTTTGACAGAGACCTAAAGCATGTTGGTTGGATAAACTGGACAAATAGAATTTATGCTACACTAGGCTATGCTTCATCAATAAAAGAAAAGACCTTTTAAGACAGAGCTCTGCAGAAGCATTTCTTCATAAATTTTCAAAGCCATTAAGAAACCTTAAGGACTTCAGTACCGTCTTCTTGTATTTCACATTAATCTAAAGAAGTTTCCATAAGAATGATTCAGCAATTATGGCGCTTCAGCTTTCAACTGATGTTAAGGCTACTTTCACTGTTCTAAAAACCAGAAATGCTGTCCTTTTTCTGTTGCTTCTTCTTAATTATTAATCTTGTAAAAACTAGGACAACCAGCCTGTGGGCCGTTGGTGCTCACATGTCCTCTTTCAGACTGTATTGACTGCTTTCTACCAAACACAGCTAACACATCCCACAAGATCTTTCAGGTCAGAAACACAGCCGTGTGTGAACCTGCTACAACAGTGCATCCTCACGAGCATTTACAGACCAATGCACAGAGCAAGCCCAACAGAAGCTCCCAAAATATTTCTACACATCAGATTTATGGGGAATGGGTACAGAAGGTCAGTCTGTTTCTCAACTTCCATCTGCAAGACAGAATGATTAATGCTGCCATAACTGCTAACTCAATTTCTTCGGACTTGATCTATACATAGATCAAAAGGTAATAAAGTGAACTGCTTTTCCTACAGTAGTAAAATACTACTTAAAGCAAGGCAGTATTTCTGCATTTTTGATAAGGCTACAGCTGCTTAGAAATTTAAGTCTAATGCAGCCTTACTCTTCCTATTAGCCCAGTAATCTTTTTCACATACACAAATATGGAGTGTAAGTACCACAACTTGTATTTGTTTGGATCATTACTTTAAGCTTGCTAAACCAGATTCTAGAGTCTGCACATTTTCTAAATCAAGATGAAAACAAAAAAACACAACCCAGACCACACCTTATGTATTAAGTTCAGCAGCCAAATTCATCATGGACCAGATGCAACCAGCTAAACCAAAATTAAAGTTCTGTGTAACTTGCACATACATACACCCTAGTCCAAATATTTGTTTTAAGACATCTTCCCCTCCCCACCATCAAAAAAAAAACCAACAAACAAAACAAACAAAAAAAAACCCCACAAAAACAAACCAAAAACACACAACCCACAAAACTGTAAAGGGCTCTGATTCATATCCTGAAAGTCTCAGTCTTGCCTGACCTGCACTGTTTTTATTCTGCCAGTTTAAAACATTTGCTTGTTCATTTCTTCATAAATTCCTCTGTTGCTTTCCTATTGTCTCCCAGCTTCACCACCTGAAAGGCACCACACTCCCCATTCCCTCAAAATTTCTATCCCCTTCAGCCCCTCTCCTATTCCTTAACAGGGCAGTCAGTCTCCCCTACCTTTTCGCATTCTTTCTTGGCCTCAAATTGACAGCAAAATTGCCAGCCTTTTACATTAATTTCTGGCTTTAATGACAGTTGATCATCATTCATGTTATTCTAGGATGACCTTGTACGGGTTAGACAAATTTAGAAAAATCCCTTACTGCGTAGGTACTGCTTTGTTGCCAAACAGAAAATGTAAGTCCAGAATCTCTTCCTTGAAAAACTGAAAGATTAAAGAGGGATTGTTTGATAGCAACGCAATCCCAAAGAACACCTGCTTCCAGAAAAATCTAAGTTTTGCAATAGTCCGCTTATACCAACAAAAGAGGAAACCGCCTAAAAGACTTTTCAGACATTCCTTTAGGAAAGTATTAGGGCTGCGGGAGAATGCACATCTCAGATTGACTTCAGCATGGATCAGCACCAGACCCAACACTATGCCACACATTTATAAGTGATCTAGAGTCGAGTATAGTAGCTACTGATGAAATCCATAGATTACAGCAGACTGGCATACATATGTAGCGGTAACAGAACATTCTAGCAGACAGTAAGATGAACCCATTTAAACACAGTAACCTCAAAATACAGAGGCAAAGCCAAGCAGGTAAGTTAAAAATAATAAAAATATGGGCAGGGGTAAAGGCATCCCACAGAGTAGTAACTTGGAAAGGGAGGAAACCAGTGTCATAAACTGCAACTAACTCAACCTGACCTACCAACTTATGTCAAACATTGAAGACATCAATGAACTACTTTAATATAGAAATAGGAAAGAGCAAAAAAAAACAACAAAATTGGACAAGGAAAACCAACAGCGAGTGGTCAGCCTCAATAATTATTTTGTCCCCTTCCATTTTTAAACAGAAGAACATGTAGCTAAAACATTTATCTGGGGAAGAAGAAATGTACATAGGAATAAAGCACACACTAGTGGTAATGTGAAAGAGAAATGAAAAAATAGTAACAGAAGGTTGAAATACTTCTATATGAAGACTGTTGAAAATAAATTACTTCATAGTTATCAATAACAAAGAATCAAA